TGCCTTTTACGCGGGCTAAATTTAAATTATTTATACAGGCACTCTAAAGGTAGGTTTTCCATCTTATTCTTATTAATAATAGAAAAGAGAATTCTACCATTTCTACATGATACACACAAATATTCTAACTCATCAATTGGTGTAATTATCAAATCTGAAGGTTAATTTAACATATACTTCTTCCCCTGGTACTTGTTACACATTCATTTTCGAGTAGTTTGCAGAGCTCGAAATCAATAATTTATATTACGTGACGAGAGTACCAATCGTGATGTTTATCAAACAGCTTGGAGTGATCGAAAAGGGAGTCATTTAAAAATATTCCCTTGAAATTTTAAATTTGCAGAATAAAACTTTTTTTTTTTTTTTTTTATCGTTTGAATCGTATTCAATTGATAATTTTAGCGAGGCATTGAAATAATTTGATGCTGCGTTTCTTTTGCGAAAATCTACGTTAAATTACACGTGTCAAAACCTAATTGAAAATAATAAACATTTTGGTGGTTTGGTTCGCTTTAAAGCAGTGTTGGCATTTGGCCACGGCCAAGAAATTTTGGCCATTTTGGCCGTGGCCAATGGCCAAAAATGGCAAAACAGTCAAAATAACTAGGTATTAATAAATGTATTAATACTTATTAGAATTTGATTGGCATTTGGCCCCGGTCAAGATTTTTTTTGTCATTTTGGCCATCCAAATTGGCCAAACCTCGGCCAAACGGCCAAAGGCCAACACTGCTTTAAAGCGAATTTCCAGAAAAATATCTTTCTTTATCAAAAAGTCAAAGCATGCAAGTAAACTTTTGAATACAAACGCGAAATCTCATCTCGTTTTATTTTAAAAAAAAAATCAAGAAAAAAAAATTGAATCATCGTTACACCGCATGACACAATATGTATCACCAAACTTTCTCCCATCTTTTAATTTCTTTATTTCTCTCTTTTTAAGATGGCACTGGCTCGTAAGAATAATAGCAAAAAAAGTGAAATAATGTCTTTAGATACAATGAGTGTAACAGCACTTAAAAAGAAATTGAGAGATATAGAACGATATTTGAAAACGGTTGCGTATAAAATTTGTAGTGTGATTACCCTGTACGTATTTTAAAGGTTTAGAAATCTATGCTAAAAATTATTTACTGGTTTTATTCTTTATTCGTTATAGAATGAAAAACTTTCAGCTAAAGGACAAGTGAGTCTGGAAAGACAATTGAAAGCGTGTAAGTTGACGCTAATTGAGAGAATGGCAGAAAATAAAGAGAAAGACATGGCTGCAAAGTATCGAATGGTTAAACATTTCGGTAAGATTTTCTGTTTATTTAGGATCATCTTTGAACTTCGTATCAAAAATAATGTGACTAATTTGAAAATAGATCGAAGAAAGGTTGAGAGAGCAATTAAACAAACCCAAAAAAAATTAAGTGAAGTACAGTCATTACAAGAAAAAGCAAATGTTGAAAATATTTTATATGAATTACAAATAGATCTCAATTACATCCTAGTAAGTTCTACCTTTTTATCAAAATTATTCTTATTTTTACAAATCTTAATTCATTTTTTAAAAAAACAATTATTGATAGTATTATCCAAAGCATCGAAAATATTTGGCACTTCATCCATCAAATGGAGGAGATGATGAAGAAATGGTTTCAAAAAGAAATGAAATTAGACAAGTAATAAAAGAGGCTGTACAAAATAACGATTTAGAATCTTTAAATAACCGATTTAGAAACGAGAATAAATTACAAGTTATTAAGAAAATGGATAATATTGAAAAACGAAAAAATAATTTAAAAGGTAAGGTGGCAGTAGAGAGTAATACGAGTAAAACTAATAAATCATTTGATGATGACTTTTTTGGGTCTGAAGAAGAGGACATGAATAATGATAATAATGATACTGAGGTATAGGTGTGAACTTATTCTTAATGTAATAATAATAAAAAAAAAGTATAACTTTATTTTCAAATCTAATTTTCCTATTATATTGTTGGAAAAGACTAATATAATCGAAAGGAACTTGGTCATCATTATGGCCAAGAAAAAAAGCATTTTACATTTATTTAATATGTTTAATTGCTAAAATTTCTTTCGAAGAACAAAATAACTAGCAATCTCTAGTCAGCAATAATAATTGTTTTGTTGTTTTGATTCGTTCCTTGCTAGACATTTCGTCTTGAAATAAAATCATACGATATATATAGTTAACAAACCATGAAAAAAAAAAATGTAATATGCTTTGCGATGAAAATACAATTTATTACAGTATCTCAAACCGACCATTTTAGCGGACAAATTTGTACGCTAAAATGATTAAAAGTAAATTAGGTTTAGAGTAGAATTTTTATAGTAAAACTTTATTTTAATTGGTTGAAATTATAGTCACATGACATAAGTTGTCCGCAGTGTCTATATATCACGTGACTTTTAACGTTTATGGTTTAATAAATCACTTTCGCAAAAATATTTTATTTATTAGTATGAAATTCTAAAAAGCAATTCCTAGCATTATTACAACACAAAGGCACATTACATGTTACACACCATAATTGGCTTCTGTTTGGTGTTTTACGATCCATATCTATTTCTTTTTTATTTGCTAACCATGTATACCATCTACACGCTTCACGTTTTTCTTTCCATTCTACAAAGTGGTTTCTAGGAACTAATCGTTGGTCCGAAAGCTCAAAATGTTTTGTTATTTCTGACATTTTGCATCCTTCTCCAAACTACTCCTTAGTTGAATTTTACCAGTATTATTTGCAAAATTAATTAAATTCCAAACAAGTTCATTGCGGAACTCTTTTTGTTCTTGCATTGATCCCATGGTCTGAACAATCTGATACGCATTAATAATTGCAGTATCAAGTAGCCAAAAAAAAATGAGTATCCAATTTCGTCGTGTTATTTTTTGCGTGTTGTAATATAAACATAATTGATCTGCAATATCTACACCATTCATATTATAGTTGTAGTCATTTACTATTTTTGAAAATTTTTTTTTTCTAGATTCAGAACCAAACACTGCATGTACTTTTGCTGCATTTGTACTAGTTTCCCTTGGTCGTTGCCTATCCCGTTCTACTTCCCACTCCTCATCAACAATTCCATGAATTGTTGATAACATTGTGACCAGTCTATTATCCTATCAAAAAACAGCTAATATACCATCTACCACAACTTCAGAACGAACATCCCAATTAAGTTTAATGCTTTTATCTAATTTTAATTCTTTAGAAAACCCTGATGCAGTCTTTCGTACAGTCTCGTAAGTACTAATTCCATTTTTCTGAAGATGTTGAAAAAGAGGAATATTGGAGAAATAGTTATCTATATATATATTATATGAATGTTGATGGTATGAAAGTTGCTCAACAAGATGATAAACCTGGCATCCGATTTGATTAAGTCTACTTATTTTTATTACATCACTTGAAATAATACGTGATATTGGTAAAAAAGTAAAAGTATATCCAGAATCACAAAGAGACAAAATTTTAAAGACTTCAAGTATAGGTTTATTTTTGATTTGAACAGTATGAACACTTTTTTCAGAAAAATGAATTACCATTTCATCTACAGAAACATTTGTACTTGGTATGTAAAGTTGCTTTAAAATATTCCAGATATGCGAAAGTAGTAATTCTAATTTATCAAAATAATTTTTAATTAATGCAATGGTAGAGGAAATATGTAGATATCTCTTAATCTATTCAAAACGTTTTAATAACATTTATTTTGAGATAGGGTGAATAGGAAGCTTTCCATTTTCATTTCAATACTGATTAAGAAAAGGTAATTTAAAAAGTCCTTGATAAATAATCAAGGTAATCCAAATAAGAAGTTCTTTACGAATTAAGTCCAGTCAACGCCTACCAGTAGCACCAGCACCTTTTGATAATGCATAAAGATTTGTATTTTCAACGATAGTATTCAACATATTTGTTATAAAAAAAGAAAAAAAAAGTTAATCAGCTTAAAGATACCAATGTTAAGATATGTTGGTAGCTGAATAGATACCCAATAAGGTTGTTTTAGGTAAATAATAGATTATAATCAGAAGGTGGTTGTGATAATTCTTGTATGATTTTTGTTAATTTACATTTTCTTTTGTAAGTATTTTGTGTGGTTATTTTATGTTTGTTCTCATTCTCATTCTCATTCTCATTTTCATTTGCTGAATCTGGATTGTTTAAGTATTGATGAGGTGTTAAGAATGGTATATACTGTTATAGGAAGATATTAATACAAAAGATCATGTGATATACGTGATCAAAAGACATATTGATTGCGTTATATTAGATGACAAAGATGGCAAAGACGAGAGAAATGAATTAAACAAAGGTTATATAAAAAACCCAGAAATCACCGGAAAATTCTATTATATTATTAATTATTTTGTATTATTAATCATTTATTATTTATAATCAATTAGTATTTTATTTA